TAAAGTTGTGGGCATTTGAGAGAAGCGTTTTTCTGTTTTCTAACATTTTAGTTTTTGAAGTCTTGTTCTGTTTGAACAAGTTTTGAAGGCAGTTTTGTTCTGAAGTCTTTTGGATGAAAGACGAAACGTTCAACGCAAAGAAACCATCCAGATGACTTGACTTAGCTTTGTTTTGTTTTTTTTACCTGGGTTGTTGCGCATGAACTTTGGTGTTTTGAACCACTTTGGCCATGGCTGCCTCAGAGGAGTCAACGGTGAGAGAGGGCGAACTCCAGAAACCATCTTATCACCATCAAACTGGTTGGCCCACTATGTGAATGTTCTGCTTGTGGGACTGAGTTTGTTGTGGCTCCTCGGACTGATGGAGTCTTTTGGATGAAAGACGAAATGTCTCAACACAAAGAAACCGTTCAGAGGACCTGACTTTGTTGGATGTTACAGTTTTGTTTTGGCATTTTAAAAATGTTTAGCTTGCGGCTGCATTTTGTGTCCCCGCACACAAACCGCTCATTTTTACCTAATCTTTTTGTTTTGTTTTATTTTTCCTTCTGCCTTTTAGAGCTCTGTATCAATCATTCTGTATTAGCCAGGAAATATTGATAAATTATTCAAGTTTGTCAGCTGAACTAGAATACTTTTAATATTTCCATTGTTATATGAGAGGTCATTTTAAAAATGACATTAAGATTTTTTTGTTATGGTAACTAAAAAGATTTGCTTAACATGAATAAATGCTCTTTAAATATTTATTTTTATTTTTTAATCTTGATTTTGTTTCTTTTTACAGCTTTCCAGTGGAAATCCCATCTATGACAAATATTATCGACAGGTAATAAAATATATATTCTACCTTCTCTTTCTAAAATTATTCTAAGATCTTTATTTTGTTTGTTGTAGCAGTTTTAATGATCGCACATTTATTATTTAGTGTTTGATTTAAATTGCGTTAGTAAAATGACAGAGAAATTCTGAAACAGTGTTTTGTGTTTTTATTTTGTTACATTGATTGGTATAAACTTAAACTGGTAATAACTGGTTTAATATGGTTTAAAAAACTGTAGTGTTGAAGTCCGCAGTGATCTCTCTTCTTCCTTTTTAGTTCCAGCCTTTGTTTAGCTATGAATTAATAATGTTTCCCTTTGCCAACCAGTCAAGGCAGCAGTTCCCAGTAGGCCTTATAAAAGACCACTAAGCTAATAACTTTGGTTTATTATCTGTGTTGATTTATGTGAAACAAAGACTTTTGTTTTCCACATGGTACGTCTCAGTTTTTTTTATTTTACCCCCTTTTTGAAGTTAGGAATCTATTCAGAGCTTTGTTTTGAATCATAACCTGCTTATCTCAGTGTTGAGCACATGAAAAGCTTCATATTTCATGGTTTGGTTGCCTCTTATCTTTCCTCAATGATATAAGCTCTTGACTGTGTGCATATATGGTTGCGTGCAGGTGGATCCCACTGGCAGCGGGTGGGTGGCGGCGGCCGATGCAGCTCTATTCTTGAAGAGGTCGGGCTTGGCTGACATGGTCCTAGGCAAGGTGAGTGATGTCGCAGAACAAGAAACGCATCTCTCTAGGCTTCAGTTTTCACTACGTCAAAACAAATGTATAAATTATGAACTGCCTTCCTAGATCTGGGATCTGTCTGACTCCGAAAGAAAAGGATCGCTTAATAAACAGGTGTGTGACACAGTGAAGTTTACGTCATCCAGAATGTGTTTCGTGGGCTGTTATTGTTTTAATGCTGAAGAATCTCATCTCCCCTTAGCAATTCTTCATAGCGCTGCGATTGGTGGCTTGTGCTCAGAATGGCCTGGAGGTGGCACTTAAGAGTCTTAACGTGGCTGTTCCTCCACCCAAATTTGTAAGTTTGCTGCTGTGACCATGAGTCTGTGTTGTTCCTGCTTTACATGGCACCTCTGAAACTGGAAAGTGTCCAGTGCAATAAAACAAATATACAGTATTTATACAATGCTGTCCCGCTGTCCTTTTTGTTTATGTAGTAGGTAAACGTTTAATTGTACTGTTTTTAATTGAAATATGTGTTTGCGTATTTGCAGCATGATGCAAGTAGCCCACTGTTAGCAGGAGGAGTGACCTCTGACCTTCCCTGGGTTGTCAAGGTGAGTTTTTACCTGCATAAGCTGGCAGCAAAGAATCAACAGAAATGCTGTTTAGTGTGGAAATGATATTGTTTAATATTTGCAGTGCATATAAACCAGAAATAAAAGTTGCTTGACACATGGATGTTTTTTTTTATATTTACCTTTGTTTCCCATCCTTGATAAATACTTTTTATATCAGAATATTTTTATTGTTCACCACTGCTAACAACAAGGGTATAAGTTTTATGATTCTTAACTATTCACCTTTTCCCAACAGCCCGAGGAGAAACTGAAGTTCGACTCCATCTTTGAGAGTTTGGGTCCTGTAGGAGGGATGCTGTCAGGAGATAAGGTCAAGCCTGTCCTGCTCAACTCCAAACTGCCTGTGGACATCCTGGGCAGGGTACGAACAAATAGTTTAATTTGCTTCTTACAAAATGATTATTATTATTGTAGTGAACCAGATGACCTCAAATCTACCAGATGGACAGAGACTGTTATTTTCATTGATCTGAATAAGTCTGAACCATCTGATGACTTTCTTTCTTGAATTAATCAAGCAGAAAAGACAATTCTTTATAATCATTACTGTCTTACAAATGTTTTGATAATCAAATTGTGTTGGTTCACTCAATGCTTTACAGGTTGAAAAGAACTACTCATTTTTATTTTACATAAACAGTAAGTAATGATTTTTATTCCTCATTCAGAGAAGAAATCACCTGAATATGCCTTTCTTGATTTTCTGTCTGAAATGAGCAAGTCGTAAGTGTGTGAAAGTTGAGGCTTCGGTCAGCTAAATGTTTACTGAAGAAGAAATGTCATGTTTAAACTTTTTCAGAAGATTACCAAGAGTAGACTCCAAAAAGTCTGCTGCTTCTGCAATAATCTTTTCTGTATGTTAAACAAGTTTCACTCTCTGACCTCGACTGTTGATAAACACCTTACGTCAAAACCACTCCTCTTTCTGGTCCTTCCACGAATCAGAAAGCTCTAAATTGAACAGGAAGTAAACTCATTTAAAAATGTGACAACTTCCCAGTTCAAGTGAGAATTCCAGAATTCCAAGAGAATGAGAGTTCTGAGAGATGTTGGAATGAGAGCAGATTGAGAGTGCAGCCGGTTCTGAAAGCTTCAGAGCAATGAAGAGTCCAAGAGTTATGAAGAGTTTGGAGTTATGAAGAACCAGGGACGTTTGGGATTATAATTCTGTTTTGAGCTAACCACGCACGACTCTCCGAGGATTTTTAGCTGTTCTTAACGGAGGCGCTGAAACAGTCTGAAGGATGCTTACTGAGCTGATCCATCGTCAAACCAGGTAAAGACTTCTTCGACCAAGTGTACCGTGGGCAAAGCTGAGATACCTGATGGGAGCGTGCAACTTCTGGTCAAACAGATTAAATTCCCTCACACAGTTCTCTGTAAGATAATCTCCTTTCATCTTAAACTCTTCTCTCTCATAAATCAGTACAGATATTTTTAGAAATATCTGAAGCAAAGTCCTCAAATCACCGCCGAGTGATTTGAAGTTCATTTTCAGTGAAACTGTCTGTTATTATTTTCATATTTTGCCAAATTAATGTAAATGTTTGATGTTAAACTTTGATTCTGAAAATAAATGATTCCATTCATTTGATGGGTCAAAGATAAACAACGTCTCTCGTTACATTTCTGTTAAATTCAATGCACGGCATTACACAGTCAGAAAAATGAAGAACTCGTGAAAAGTATGCATAAATATATACACATATATTTGTCATACTATAAGTGACACGTACCTCACGTGACTCACTACAAACTGGTGGCTCGTACGTTTCATGAATGACTGTTAATTCGTGTGTAAATTGATTTAAATGTTGGCATGTTGAAAAAGTAACAGCTGACGAGCTGTGAATGTTTACGCAGCGGCTGGGCTGCGCGCTTGGAGCTGCACCTTTCAAGCAAACGCTGCATGTATAAGCGTTGGGCTGGCAATGTTTTAAGAGCTGAAATTGTGTCATTAAGTCTTGTGTAAGCTGAAATTGTACGTCTGTTACGTGTAACTAAGAGCTGATGAGCTGTGGAAGACGTTATTCTGTCTAAAAGTACGAGGTTCTGCTAAGACCCGGCTGTGACCCAGTTTCGGTTCTGTTCAGTTTGAACGAGTATTTTGAATAGATGGATAAACGTTTTAAAAGCTGAGTGCCATCTCAGAACACAGTTAGAAGTTGTTTCGTTACAATTTTTAACAGAAAAAGTGCATTTTGATGGTTTAAAAGACGAAAAAGTGACGAACTATTTTACGCTAATCTAACTTGCTAGTTGGAGAATACGCTTCGTGATTGGTTGAATTCACTGTTGTGGAGCGCTTTCATTGGTTGAGAAGTTTGACTGACGTGCTACGTCATCTCCCCTCAAGCCTGCGCTGCGTTGCCATTGGTGATTTCAGTCACGTGACCCGGAAATGAAATTCGTTTTCATAGGGAAATAAAATCTGCTTTTCAAAGCTGAAAAGTAACTTTAATGTGGTTTTGACACGCTGGCCAAGTGCTTCGAAGCTATCTGCTGAAATTTTGCTACGTTAGAGTTTAAAAATTCGTCAAAAAATGATGTTTTTAAACAAAGCTAGCGATGCTAATTTTAAGCTAAACAGCTAACGACCGGAGCTTAAACTACGCTTAAAATCACTAAATGAAGCTACCAACAGTCCCAAAAACTCATGTTTGAAGCTATAAAGTCTGATTGCAAAACTTTTGCCACTTTTGTGTAAAAAATCCGTTCAGAAATGTTGATTTTAACCGAGTTTAGCCGAAGCTAACTTCAAGCTAAGCGGCTAACAACAGGATGTCAACCGAACGCCACAGGAAGTTATAGCACCCCTAGTGGACAACACAAAAAGTGACGGAGTTATAATTGTTGAGGTAATACTCCCATCTCCTGGCGAGACGTGAGATCACAGATTTCACTTCGTTTTTAGGTAAAGAGTGAAATTAAACGTCTTTTTATTTTTCTGTAAGGCAAATTCTGAGTTAACAAACTTCCTCAGAGCTGAATAAAACACTGTTATCTTACATTTTAAAAAGTAATAGGTATTTATGCAAAGAAGCATTTACCAAAAAATTTTATTCACTGATAAATCCTTAAAACAGGTCCAAAATAAAATTAGAAACTTTTTAAAAAACAGATACAGTTACAAATATTCACAGAGTTGAACAGTTTACTCATTTTGCTTGAAGGATAATACACGTTTAATTGCAAAATCACTAAATAAGAGTAAATTTATCAGGAAAAAGAGATTTTCTGTTTAATTTACAACCTAAATAAAATATCTCTCTATTTAATTTTAAATAGAAGCTATACAGGAGCAAATACAGTTTTTCTGAAGAAAGACTGATTATTCCTCATCATCAAATTCTTTTCTCTTTTCACCCACCTGGGTTGATGAGTAACTGTTTAAAATAGCAAATTTCTGGAACAGAACGGTTTAAAAAACGTTTTAAACTAATATTGCTGTGAGACTAAAGAAAAATTTGCAGGTTTATAAAAATTCAGTGTTTTAGAGTAAATACACTAAAAACAGCTTGGTACTCTAGTATCTGTGGAAAATAAGCACAAAAAGTAACACTGCTGGAAGAGCATTTACTTAAATATTCATGAATTGGGGTAAAACCTGAGAAAGGTACCCACAGTTGAATAAGTTGACTTATAACAGTACTTCTGTGTAAACCCAAAGCTAAAATAAGTGTGAAAACTCATTGACTTGAATACAAATATTTACCTGTAAAATATCTAAAGCTTGCAACTGTTCAAACAGATAAATTGCTACACAGTGAAAACATGGCAGGTGTGTTAGAAAAAGATTTTGACACAAAAGGAATCACGGACTGCTTGGAGAATGCGTTCGCGCTTCTCGGAGCGTCCTTACATCCATTTATGACTCAGACAGAGCGCATGAACCCAAAAGAGTTAGTGGACAATCTGAAGGAGGTTGCAGAAAGTGTGACCTCTGCAGAAATCACAAAGTCCAGTTATGAAAAGCTGGCTAAAATTGCAATCTTGCTGAAAGAATCATTCTATAAGGCCGTTGATAAAACTGTTATAATCAAACAAAGGTTAGACAGTGAAATAGATTTGGCTCAAAAGACGGAAGAATACGTCCGTCAATTTAGAAGCGAACACGAGGTCCTCATGACGAAACATTATGAACAGATGTTTCAGTTACAGCAAGATACAAGTACAGAAATTGCTTTGCTGAACAGCAAACTACAAGTACTTGAAGCATCACTATCGGAAGCAGAGGATAGAGAACAAGCGTACCAAGCCTCGCGTTTAGATAACGACGTGCTAAAAGCACAGTTACAGATCGCATTGAAGGAGCTGGACGCTTGCAAGGCAGACAAGACGGAATCACTCCGACGATGGCTGATTTTAATAAAAAAATATCAGACATCACAGGAGGACCTGAAAGCTTGTGAGGAGAAATTAGCTACAGCTACAAACCAGATTTCTGATATGGGGCGGCCTGGTCTAAGACTCAAAGACGAACAGTATCAGGGTCCGAGACAGCCACGAACTCTCCAGTCAGATGCTGTTGCACCTCTTCCTCCTGACAACACGCCGTTACCCCCACCCCCACCAT